AGGAAGGAAGGAAGGAAGGAAAGGAGAAGAGAGGAGATGAGATGAGATGAGAGGAGGAGGAAACACATGGCACACAACACACGGAAGGAAGGAAGGAAGGAAGGAAGGAAGGAAGGAAGGAGGAAGGAAGGAAGGAGAGGAGAGGAGAGGGAGAAGGAGGTAACACATGACACAACAACACAGAAGAAGGAAGGAAGGGGGAAGGAAAGGGGGGAAGGGAGGGAGGAGGGAGGGAGGGGAGGAGGAAAGGAGAAGGAAGGAAGGAAGGAAGGAAGGAAGGAAGGAAGGACAGGAGAGAGAGGAAGAAGGAAAGGAAGAAGGGAGGGGGAAGGAAGGAGGAAAGAAGGGAGGGAAGGAAAGGAAGGAGGAAGGGAAGGGAGGGAAGGAGAGGAAGGAAAAAGGAAGGAAGGAAGGAAGGAAGAGAGGAAGGAAGGAAGGGAAGGAAGGAGGAAGGGAGGGAGGGAGGAAGGAAGGAAGGGAGGGAGGAAGGAAGGAGAGGAAGAGGTAACAAATGGCACACAGAACAGGCGAAAGGAAGGAAAGAAGGAAGGAGAGAAGGAGAAGGTAACATGACACTCAACACAGAGAAGGAAGGAAGGAAGGAAGGAGAGGGAAGAGGTAACACATGGCACTCTCAATACAGAGAAGGAAGGAAGGAGGGGAGAGGGAGGAGGAGGAAGGAGAGAAAAGAAGGAAGGGGGGGAGGGAGGGAGGGAGGGAGGAGGAGGGAGGGAGGGAGGGAGGGGGGGAGGAAGGAAGGAGAGGTGGTAACACATGGCACACATGACACAAGGAAGGACGGAGGGAAGGAAAGAAAGAAGGAAGGGGAGGGGAGGAGGAGGAAACGCATGGCACACACAACACAGAGAAGGAAGGAGAGAGGGAGGAGGTAATACATGACACACACAACACATGGATGGATGGATGGATGGATGGATGGATGGATGGATGGGTGGGTGGGTGGGTGGATGGATGGATGGAAGGAGGAGAGGAGGAAGTAACACATGGCACACACACCACACAGAAGGAAGGGAGGATAGTTTACCAAACTCTACTTCCAGGAAAATCTGCATCCGATAGTAAACTGAAAATGGAGCAGAATCACCACTGAAAAGGTGGTCATCCCAAACCTTCAATGGAGTAGAGTCTATTCCTAAGGGACAGTCCCATTGACTAGTTCCTATTAGGAATAGGTCAGTCTCCTTTCTTGAAATGTATAGCCATTGGTGTGGATCCCACCCTTGAAACAACAGAAAAAAATTCCAACTGACAATTCTTTCGATGTCCAAAGATGGCTTCTCTTGCCTATACTTGCCTTGTCCTTCCTAGGAGTAAGGAACCCATTCCCCTGAACACCTGGACCAGTGTTTTGCTGGAGAGGAACGCACGCAAAGGAGTGATGAGAATCAATAGCGGCGAGCGGATCATGGGGGAGTCCCCGGTAAGCAAGGGTCGTCTCTGAAGGGGGGTTCCTAACTGGCTGATTGGTGTCCTGAAGCTCGGGACCAACAGGTCTGTATATAGACATCTTCTGAAGTCCCGGGATCTTTTTGCCACATGATTTAGTGCTGTCTGGAAGCACCCTCGCACTCTTGGGAGCCTTTAAATCTCACAACAAAGCATCAAGTCTGGACAATGGAGGCAGAAATCCCGGGAACAGCAGGTGTATATGTGGAACTCTTCTGAAGTCCCGGGATTTTATTCTTCTGTTTAAAACCCGTGATTTAGTGCTGTCTGGAAGCACCCTCAGACTCTTGGGGAGCCTCTATATCTCACAACAAAGCATCAAGTCTGGATAACAGAGGCAGAAATCCCAGGAACAACAGGTCTCTTCTGAAGTCCTGGGATTTTTTGCCCCTGCTTAAAACTCGTGATTTTGTGCTATCTGGAAGCACTTTCACACTCTTGGGAGTCCTTAAATCTCACAACAAAGCATCAAGTCTGGACAACGAAGGCACAAATCCCGGGAACAACAGGTCTGTATGTGGACCTCTTCTGAAGTCCCGGGATTTTTTGCCTCTGTTAAAACATGTGATTTAGTGCTGTTTGGAAGCCCCCTCACACTCTTTGGAGTCTTTAAATCTCACAACAAAGCATCAGGTCTGGACAACAGAGGCAGAAAACCCAGAAACAACAGGTCTGTATGTGGACCTCTTCTGAAGTCCTGGGATTTTTTGCCTCTGATTAAAACCTGTGATTTAGTGCTGTCTGGAAGTGCCCTCATACTCTTGGGAGTCTTTAAATCTCACAACAGAGCATCAAGTCTGGACAACAGAGGCAGAAATCCCGGGAACATCAGGTTTGTATGTGGACCTCTTCTGAAGTCCCGGGATTTTTTGCCTTTGTTTAAAACCCGTGATTTAGTGCTGTCTGGAAGCGCCCTCACACTCTTGGGAGTCTTTAAATCTCACAACAGAGCATCAAGTCTGGACAACAGAGGCAGAAATCCCGGGAACATCAGGTTTGTATGTGGACCTCTTCTGAATTCCTGGGATTTTTTGCCTTTGTTTAAAACCCATGATTTAGTCCAGTCTGGAAGCGCCCTCACACTCTTGGGAGTCTTTAAATCTCACAACAAAGCATCAAGTCTGGACAACAGAGGCAGAAATCCCGGGAACATCAGGTTTGTATGTGGACCTCTTCTGAAGTCCTGGGATTTTTTGCCTCTGTTTAAAACCCGTGATTTAGTGCTGTCTAGAAGCGCCCTCAGACTCTTGGGGAGCCTCTATATCTCACAACAGAGCATCAAGTCTGGACAACGGAGCCAGAAATCCCGGGAACAACAGGACTGTATGTGGAGCTTTTCTGAAGTCCCGGGATTTTTTGCCTCTGTTTAAAACCTGTGATTTAGTGTTGTCTAGAAGCACCCCCACACTCTTGGGGAGCCTCTATATCGCACAACAAAGCATCAAGTCTGGACAATGGAGGCAGAAATCTCGGGAACAACAGGTCTGTATGTGGACCTCTTCTGAAGTCCCGGGATTTTTTGCCCCTGTTCAAAACTCGTGATTTAGTGCTGTCTAGAAGCGCCCTCACACTCTTGGGGAGCCTCTATATCTCACAACAAAGCATCAAATCTGGACAATGGAGCCAGAAAGCCCGGGAACAACAGGTCTCTTCTGAAGTCCTGGGATTTTTTTGTCTGTTAAAACCCGTGATTTAGTGCTGTCTGGAAGCGCCCTCAGACCCGTTCAGTTTCAAAGGACGACAAAGGCAAACCCCCTTCTGAACAAATCTGGGTAATAAGATTGCCGTCAGTCAGAAATGACTCCAAGGCAGACAACAACTCCCCATGGTGCTGTTTTGTCCCAGCAAAATTGGTTGGTGGCCTTCAAGGTCCTGGTTGGAAGCCACCATCCTCAAGTTTGCCTTCCCAGAATCCTGTGCAAATTACAAAGAGTCCTTGTCATGGCAGCCAACCTGAAAAGAGTCCTTTGAAGGCAGGGAACTTGAAAATGAAAATCCCACTGAGGTCTCCCTCTACCCCGCTCTGCTTTCAGATGGCTGGCCTTAAGACCCTTGTCTCCTAGCTTGCCAATAATCTTAGAAGTAGTGGATTCTTTCCCGTTCTTTTAAAGAGCGGGAAGGAAGCACACCTCTGAAAGGGGAATTGAAGAAGAAAGGGCTGCGAGACGCGCCGCAAAGGGAACACAGGGATGCCTGTGGCTGGCGTCTGATCTTGCCCATACGCTCCCGCTTCTCCTCGTTTGAGCTTGAAAGCTTCCTTTTTTGAAAGGCGATGCCTTGTGTCTTCCCCGAGTTTGATCCCTTCCTTCCCGCCGCTTCCTTCTGTGCCTTTCCTCCCTCGGTTGCCCACTAATGAGGGGAACGGGTTGGCGCTTGCGTCTTGTGACTCTCTGCCTGATGATATTACTTCACTGATCTCTTGCTTTGTCTCTTTCTCTTTGTGTCTCTTCCTTCCGCTCCCTTCCTTCCTCTCCTTGCTGTCTGGATTTCAGAAATCCCGTAAGGTAAAGATAAGTATAACAGTCCGTGTCTCGTTGCCATCTCACCCACACCGGTGCATCCTTTCGGTTTCTCCGCTCCTCCATCCAAACAACCGTAATTCCTCATACCTACCACCTATCCCATCATTCATAACAATGGGTTATTCTCTTCTTCTGCATCTCCACAAAGTTCAGCCATCCTCCCATCTTTATTGTCATCCAACATTAGACATTAGTATTTTTTTTAACACTATTCAAAGTGGTTTGGATGTCTCCGAGAGATATCTCCGAGTGACAGTTTGGGAAGCCATTTTTTTTTTCTAATTTGAAAAAGTTATTTTTTTAATTGTCCACAATGCATAAGGTGGTGGGAGAACCACAACTCCCATCATGCCAGGTTAACCCCGAGACATTCCCTCAGTACTTAAAGTTTGTTATGTTGGGCAAGTTTCCTCTAGATGCATCATCTGTGCTCTCTGGCTATAGGATAAACTCTCACACAGAGAGGTTTCTTCTCACACTGAGGGCTCTCTCAGAAAGAGGCATACCTCACCACTAAGGGTTATTCTCCCACTGAGGTGTTCTCTCACACAGAGAGGCTTCTTACGCTGAGAGCTTTCTCAGACAGAGGCATACCTCATCACTACTGGTTATTCTCCCACTGAGGCATTAACTTGCACAGAGAGTCTTCTTCTCACACTGAGAGCTCTCCCAGACAGAGGCATACCTCACCACTAAGGGCTATTCTCCCACTGATGTGTTCCCTCACACAGAGAGGCTTCTTACGCTGAGGGATCTCTCAGAGGCGTACCCCACCACTAAGGGCTATTCTCCCACTGAGACGTTCTCTCACACAGAGAGCCTTCTTCTCACACTGAGAGCTCTCTCAGACAGAGGCGTACCTCACCATTAAGGGCTATTCTACCACTGAGGTGTTCTCTCACACCGAGAGGCTTCTTACGCTGAGGGATCTCTCAGACAGAGGCGTACCTCACCACTAAGGGCTATTCTCCCACTGAGACGTTCTCTCACACAGAGAGCCTTCTTCTCACACAGAGAGCTCTCTCAGACGGAGGCATACCTCACCACTAAGGGCTATTCTCCCACTGAGACATTCTCTCACACAGAGAGCCTTCTTCTCACACTGAGAGCTCTATCAGACAGAGGCGTACCTCAGCACTAAGGGCTATTCTCCCACTGAGACGTTCTCTCACACAGAGAGCCTTCTTCTCACACTGAGAGCTCTCCCAGACAGAGGCATGCCTCAACACTAAGGGCTATTCTCCCACTGAGGCATTATCTCACACAGAGAGGCTTCTTCTCACACTGAGAGCTTTCTCAGACAGAGGTGAACCTCACACTGTGAGACCTTCTCACAGACTGAGACCTTTCTCCCACTATGGTGAGTCAGTCCCCTCCAACTCCTCCAATACGGTGAGTTAGTCATGGAGGTTTTGTGTGCCAAGTTCAGTCCAGGTCCATCGTCGGTGGAGGTCACAGTTTCTCTGGTTGTGGGTGAACTACAACTCCCAGAAAGGATGGTCAGTCCCGTCCCGTCCCCCCTCCCCCCAGTAATCAAATTTTGGCATATAGTGTATGTGTGCCAAGTTTGGTCCAGATCCTTTGGTGTTTGGGTTCACAGTGCTCCCTGGATGGAGGTGAATTACAACTCCCTCAAATCAAGGTGAATTACCTCCAAAGACCTCCAGTATTTTTTTGCTGGTCATGGTGGACAGTATGGTGCTTGTGGAGGCAAGGCTCTTGGACATATTCATGGTGCCACCAATGGAGAGAGTCAGAAACACTGGGATGCCTGTGGTGGAGTAAAAACAGAGAATCTAGGATGAAATTGTCCCTGCATGAAAGCCTTCACTTGGGTGGTGGGCAGTGTTGTGCTTGTGGAGGACATTGGCAGTGCTCTTGGACATGTTCATGATGCCACCAATGGAGAGAGTCAGAAACACTGGGATGCCTGTGGTGGAGGAAAAACAGAATCTAGGATGAAATTGTCCCTGCATGAAAGCCTTCACTTGGGTGGTGGGCAGTGTTGTGCTTGTGGAGGACATTGGCAGTGCACTTGGACATGTTCATGATGCCACCAATGGAGAGAGTCAGAAACACTGGGATGCCTGTGGTGGAGGAAAAAACAGAAAATCTAGGATGAAATTGTACCTGTATGAAAGCCTTCGCTTTCATACAAGCCTTCGCTTGGGTGGTGGGCAGTGTGGTGCTTGTGGAGGACATTGGGAAGGCTCTTGGGCATGTTCATGATGCCACCAATGGAGAGAGTCAGAAACACTGGGATGCCTGTGGTGGAGGAAAAACAGAAAATCTAGGATGAAATTGTCCCTGCATGAAAGCCTTCACGTGGGTGGTGGGCAGTGTGGTGCTTGTGGAGGACATTGGGAAGGCTCTTGGACATGTTCATGATGCCACCAATGGAGAGAGTCAGAAACACTGGGATGCCTGTGGTGGAGGAAAAACAGAAAATCTAGGATGAAATTGTCCCTGCATGAAAGCCTTCACGTGGGTGGTGGGCAGTGTGATGCTTGTGGAGGACATCTAGGATGAAATTGTCCCTGTATGTAGACACCCCAGCCACATATACATACTTACATATTTCCACATGACACTTCAGAAGGCCAGCTGATTTGGCTCTGAGGCATTCCATTACTAATAATAATAATAATAATAATAATAATAATCTTGGTGTCCTGGTTGTTAGGCCTGGAACAGTATAGTTACATTTCTGGACTATTATTTTCCAGAATGTCCTACAAAGTAAGTTTTCTAAACTTGAGTAAGGAGCACTTGACACCAAAGTTGAATCCTTTGTAAAACAGCGCACTCTCTTTCACTGGAGATATCTAAGCAAATGGCACTCCACAAGGATGTGTGGTTGTATCCCCAATTGCAGCCTCCTGCAAAGTGTGTTGCCCATGGAAGAAGTGCGTCACTGAGGCAAGGGCTGGCATGGGACACAAGTGACAGAAAGAACCCAGCGAACAATCTGTGCCTCATCTGCTCACGACGCTCCTTTTATCTCATCTTCCAAGCTTCTTTGCTTTCAAAGCTCCCCTTCTTGATACAGAGCAGCCACGGGGTATCTCTGGCACAGGCTCCCAGCTTGGGAAGTTGGGCTCACAACAGTCACATCTTAGATCAGGCATATCTACTAGACTTGGGCATTTGTATAGAATCGGTATCCGTTTCGGTTTCTTTCATTCGTATGGCCCTGTTTTCGTTCTCGGCGCTGCTTCCGAAAACGGGGATTTTTCCGAATGAGCTGTTTAGTTCTTTTGTCCGAATGAACACAAATTTTCAGACCATAAATAAAATCTTAAGATACCACTGATTCTGAGAGGTTGTCTTCTGGATATGCAGAGGAGATCTGAGCTGAAAGGCAGGGCTTAAGATACCACTGATTCTGAGAGGTTGTCCTCTGGATATGCGGAGGAGACCTGAGTATAAAGGCAGGGGTTAAGATACCACTGATTCTGAGAGGTTGTCCTCTGGATATGCGGAGGAGACCTGAGTTTAAAGGCAGGGGTTAAGATACCACTGATTCTGAGAGGTTGTCCTCTGGACATGCGGAGGAGATCCAATCTGAAAGGCAGGGCTTAAGATACCACTGATTTTGAAAGGTTGTCCTCTCGATATGTTGAGGAGACACAACGTTAAAGGCAGGGCTTAAGATACCACTGATTCTGAGAGGTTGTCCTCTGGATATGCGGAGGAGACCTGAACAAAGGAAGGGTTTAAGATACCACTGATTCTGAGAGGTTGACCTCTGGATATGCGGAGGAGATCTGAGCTGAAAGGAAGGGCTTAAGATACCACTGATTTTGAGAGGTTTTCCTTTGGATATGCAGAGGAGACTCGAGTTTAAAGGCAGGGTTTAAGATACCACTGATTCTGAAAGGTTTTCCTTTGGATATGCCAAGGAGATCCGGGCTGAAAGGAAGGGCTTAAGATACCACTGATTCTGAGAGGTTGTCCTCTGGATATGCAAAGGAGATCTGAGCTGAAAGGCAGGGCTTAAGATACCACTGATTTTGAGAGGTTGTCCTCTGGACATGCGGAGGAAACCCGAGCTGAAAGGAAGGGCTTAAAATACCACTGATTCCGAGAGGAAGAAGCCTGAGCTTAAAGTCAAGGCTTAAGATACCACTCATTCTGAGAGGTTTTCCTCTGGACATGCGGAGGAAACCCGAGCTGAAAGGCAGAGCTTAAGATACCACTGATTCTGAGAGGTTTTCGTCTGGACATGCGGAAGAGACCCGAACTAAAAGGCAGGGTTTAAGATTCCACTGATTCTGAGAGGTTGTCCTTTGGATATGCGGAGGACACGTGAGATTAAAGGCATGGCTTAAGATACCACTTATTTTGAGAGGTTGTCCTCTGGATATGCATAAGAGACTCGAGCTTAAAGGCAGGGCTTAAAATACCACTGATTCTGAGAGGTTGTCCTCTGGATATGCAGAGGAGAGCCGAGCTTAAAGGCAGAGCTTAAGATACCACTGATTCCGAGGTTTTCTTCTGGATATGCTGGGGAGACTCAACCTTGAAGGCAGGGCTTAAGATACCACCAATTCTGAGAGGTTCTCCTCTGGTTATGCAGAAGAGACCTATAGCTTGGTGATGTCACTGTTTTCTTGGGCTCTGATTGGCCCAAATACCTCCTCTGACACATATAGAAAATCTCCCTTGGTGTTTTGAGGAAAGCCACATGACCTGAAAACTAAACAAAGAAACGGTAACGGTGCAACATTCTCTTTCGTTTCGCCTTTTGTTTCATTCTTTTGTCTCGTGCCATCGGAATGGATGCTACGAAACGAATACCCGAATGAAACAAATGGAACGAATACTGTGCTCACCTCTAATATCTATGCCAAAGGGATCAGAGGGTAGATCAGACATGGGCCAACTTCGGCCTGCGAGTTGTTTTGGACTTCAACTCCCACAATTCCTAACAGCCTATCCCTTTCCTTTTTTGGAGGGCACATCAGTTTGCCCTCCAGATAGACAAGCATTTGGCTTCCGTCCTGAGTCTTGTTGTTTCTCATTGTGTTTTCTTCTTCCTCTCCCCACCGATCTAGCTGCCTCACACCTCTCTCAACTTGAAGGAGCCCCTCTATGTTGGAGGAGCGCCCGACTTCAGCAAACTGGCTCGTGCTGCAGCAATGTCCACCAGCTTTGATGGAGCCATCCAGAAGGTAAGCAGAAACCACAGTGTGCTGGACCTTTCTTAAAATGTAGTTGTCATACACTAGAGCAGGAACCTCTCTGACCTTAAACACCACACCAGCTTGGTAAAATCAGCAAGCAGTTTATTGAAGAATATATGTAAAATTAGCAAAAATGGTAAAGTTCCAAAACAAAGGATAATCCATGAGCTTCAAGGCAAAACAAGATACAAAAATCCATGAAATGAGGCACAAGAATCCATGAAACAATACACAAATCAGGAGCTTGGCAAAAACTTGGTACATGAAACTAGAACACTTGAAAGCAAGGCCGTCATGGAATTCCAGCGTTGACCCAACTGAGGCAACTCTCTCCCATGAATCGAGAGCTTGGCAAAAACTTGGTACATGAAACTAAGAACACTTGAAAGCAAGACCATCATGAAGTTCCAGCGTTGACCCAACTGAGGCAACTCTCACCCATGAATCAATATAAAGATTTTCCAGCTCCCAAAACTGAAAGGAAAGCATTACTCTTACCTTACACCCTGATAAGGGTCGTTTATCTCTCTTTTCCTGTAAACGAACTGATCTTCTTTGCGCCTGAGCAGTCTGTTTACAAAAGCCTCACTTTCTATCTACTTCACTCATTAACTTGATTCTTATAAACATCTGGACCTAACAAATCATCTTTAGACAGTTCCTCTGAGAAAGACCGTGAAGGGCCTCTCACAGGAATGTGACCTTGTGAATCTTCCTGAGACAGCTCGGGCCTCTCATCTGAGCTTAACTCAGGCCCAGGCCAACCATCATCCCCACCCCCAACAGACCCAGACCCACCGTCAGGAACATCATCCCCATTCCCATCATGAACATCAGACACAATCACAGCCTGAACAAGCAGACTTACAACAGTAGTTGTATTAGTTAGAGGTCTTCATTTATGGTTCTGAAACCGCACCATTGGCCATTTGGGGAATTGAAATTCAACAATATCCGGGGATTAAATAAATAAATAAATAAATAAACTTTATTTATATTCTGCTATCTCCTCAAGGGGACTCAGGACAGATTACAGAACACATATACAGCAAACATTCAATGCTGTTATACAATTAGCAAGGACAGACAATACACAAACAGAGGTATAGGCTTTACTATCTTTTTTTTTTTTATCTCCGGCATCTGAAGGCTGTGCTTGACTCTGGCCATAGGAAGGTGCTGTCACTCTATCTTCCATGCCAAGGAGCTTTGTTGTCCATAGACATCATTCTGATCGAATCACCGGCATGTCCTTTTGGGGACCTTTTATTACCTCCCCTAAAATGGTACCTATTTACTCACATTGCTTTTTTGATCTGGTAGGTGAGCAGAAGCTTGGCTGATGGCGTGACTTCATCTCGACCCAGGCTTGAATTGGCAACCTTTTGATCAGCAAGATTTACAGCTGGCGGTTTAACCCACTGTGCTAAGATTTCAGCAGGGATCCCATCAGGTCCGCTGGCTTTGTCATTTTTTTGTTGGGTGATAGCATGGCTTAACCCGCTGTGTAGAAAATTTGCTGATTGAAAGCTTGGCAGTTCAAGCCCGGGTCAGGGTGAGCTCCCGTCATCAGCCAAGCTTCTGCTCATCCAGCCTTGGACACCATTTGTCCTGACTGGCGGGGATCCCATCAGGTCCGCTGGCTTTGTTATTTTTTGTTGGGTGATGGCATGGCTTAACCCACTGTGTAGAAAATTTGCTGATTGAAAGCTTGGCAGTTCAAGCCCGGGTCAGGGTGAGCTCCCGTCATCAGCCAAGCTTCTGCTCATCTAGCCTTGGACACCATTGTCTTGACTGGTGATCTTCAGAAAGAAGCTGGACTGCAGACTCTTGCTCACACTGAACTACAGGGTAACTTACTAGGCCTCCTCTAACTCTCTAATTCTAAGTGTTACACCTGGGAGATTCTTCACTTTGTGTTGGGAGTTCCCCTGCTGTTTGTTTACTCCTCTTTCATTCTTGCTTCTTCTCTTCCCACTTCCCAACTGACCAGATTTCCATCAAAGGCATCCCAGTTCTCAAGGAGGAGAACATTCGCAGCGCCATCGAGATCTCCACTTTCCGCTCCCACCCATGCACCCAGAAGCCCAGCCCTTGCCAGAACGGAGGGATGTGCAATCCTCGCATGGAGAGTTACGAATGTGCCTGTCAGAGGGGCTTCTTTGGGGCTCACTGCGAGAAAGGTGAGGTTGTGGTTGTCTAGAATGCAGAACGGATTGTGGCAAGTGGGTCATTTTTATTTATCGTGTCAGAAACAAATTCATAATACAGTTATAATTGTGTATGTGTGTGTGTGTATATGGATATAGAATACACACACGCACAAAGGTAAAAGCTTGGCATTCTACTAAGTTTCCTTTGACCAGAAGCTGGCCATTTCTGCATTTTGGATGGATTAGGAATAAGCTGGTTTGTGTTTTAGATGGATTAGGAATCAGCTGATTTTTTCCTGTAATAGGCAGTAAGAACAACTAAAGTTTCTGAGAGCTTCTGTTCAACTATTTCAAATCTCCCTGCTTGGGCGGTGATGGCATGATCGTCAGCATAGATTAAACTCTCTTTCCCTTCTGGCAGTGGCTGATCATTTGTGTAAATGTTAAACATTGACGGTGTAAGCTGGTTTTCTCTGTGATAGGCAGTAAGAGCACCTAAAGCTTTGGAGAGCTTCTGTTCAACTATTTCAAAGCTCCCTACTTGAGTGGTGATGGCACGATCGTCAGCATAGATTAAACTCTCTGTCCCTTCTGGCAGTAGCTGATCATTTGTGTAAATGTTAAACATTGATGATGTAAGCTGGTTTTCCCTGTAATAGGCAGTAAGAGCACCTAAAACTTTGGAGAGCTTCTGTTCAACTATTTCAAAGCTCTGTGCTTGAGCGGTGATGGCATGATCATCAGCATAGATTAAACTCTCCTTTCCTTCTAGCAGTGGCTGATCATTTGTGTAAATTTTAAACATTGACGGTGTAAGCTGGTTTTCCCTGTAATAGGCAGCAAGAGCACCTAAAGCTTCGGAGAGCTTCTGTTCAACTATTTCAAAGCTCTCTGCTTGGGCGGTGATGGCGTGATCGTCAGCATAGATGAAACTCTCTGTCCTTTCTGACAGTGGAAGGTAGCAGTTGGTGGGCAGATATGATATGAATAAACAGTGATGTGACCAATTGGGTTGGGGTGGAGACAAAATCTGAACTAAGAGGCCTCCTGTCGGGATGTGAGAAATTTTACGAAGCAGTAGTTGTAGTTGTCAATACAGTGCCATCAAAAACTTCTGCTGTAATAAGACTTGTAAACAAATATACTTGTTATCCTGGGAAATACAACCTATGATCCATTTCTCACCCTTCTGAAGAGTGAGAGTGAACCGATTTTTTTTTTGTTTGTTTCTATCCCTCTAGTCATCATTGAGAAGGCAGCGGGAGACTCCGAGGCCATTGCCTTCAACGGCAGGACATACATCGAATACCATAATGCTGTGACCAAGAGGTAAATGCATCTCCCCTGGGCTAGGGGAGGCGGGTAAGGACAAGTTTGATGGTCAAGCTTCAATCCAGAGGGAAGAAAACATCTTTCTTTGCACATTCTGCTCCCTAGAACATTAAGAAGGGGAGAAATGGCTACCCCGCAAAAAAATCTCCTCCAGCCCTATGCAATCGCCCTTTAGTCATCAGGCTTTTAGCATTGCAGAAAGTGAGGTATTGAAAGTCAAAGATTGTTAGTTTCCCAACAGATAGACAAGAGAACCATTTCAAATTGCATGCAAGATTGTTAATTTCCCAACAGATAGATAGTAGGCTTCTTTGATCCAAGAAGAAAATGGTTCAAAACTCGTTTCGGATGTAGGAGGCACTGGTTGTTCGATTCGGAAGTCAATTCCGATTTTTACAGTAAAATTTTTCAAAACTTTTCGAAACTTCCAAGACCTTCGAATCCTTCCTTAATGGTTTGAAAGTAGTATTTCCTGTTTCATTGGGTGGTCTTTACGTTGAAAGTAGCTGTTTTACTCCAGAAAGGGGGGGGGGGGGGACAAAGGCAGGAAATACATCCAGTTTCTTTTTAAACTCTGCCCAGGCTCGAGCCCAGTAGCGAGGGGAAAGCAAAGGCAGGAAATACATCCAGTTTGTTTTTAAGCTCTGTCCTGGCTCCAGCCGAGTAGCGAGGGGAAAAGAAAGGCAGGAAATGCATCCAGTTTGTTTTTGAACTCTGCCCCGGCTTCAGCCAAGTTGCGAGGGGAAAGGAAAGGCGGGAAATACTTCCAGTTTGTTTTTAAACTCTGCCCAGGCTCCAGCCAAGTAGCGAGGGGAAAGCAAAGGCAGGAAATACATCCAGTTTGTTTTTAAACTCTGCCCAGGCTCCAGCCAAGTAGCGAGGGGAAAGGAAAGGCAGGAAATACATCCAGTTTGTTTTTAAACTCTGCCCAGGCTCCAGCCCAGTAGAGAGGGGAAAGGAAAGGCAGGAAATACATCCAGTTTGTTTTTAAGCTCTGTCCTGGCTCCAGCCCAGTAGAGAGGGGAAAGAAAAGGCAGGAAATACATCCAGTTTGTTTTTAAACTCTGCCCAGGCTCCAGCCCAGTAGAGAGGGGAAAGGAAAGGCAGGAAATACATCCAGTTTGTTTTTAAGCTCTGTCCTGGCTCCAGCCCAGTAGAGAGGGGAAAGAAAAGGCAGGAAATACATCCAGTTTGTTTTTAAACTCAGCCCAGGCTCCAGCCGAGTAGCGAGGGGAAAGCAAAGGCAGGAAATACATCCAGTTTGTTTTTAAACTCAGCCCAGGCTCCAGCCGATTAGCGAGGGGAAAGCAAAGGCAGGAAATACATCCAGTTTGTTTTTAAACTCTGCCCAGGCTCCAGCCAAGTAGCAAAAGGAAAGGAAAGGAAGGAAATACATCCAGTTTGTTTCTAAACTCAACCCAGGCTCCAGCCCAGAAGCAGGGAAAAGCTGGATCATTTCCGACTCACTTATTGCTTCATAACAGAAATGTCGGACAAAGCTTCGGGAGGGTGAAGGGACTTACAGTTTCCTTAAAAACTTCAAAATTGCTTCAAAAAGCAAATCAATCTTTCCGAATTTAATCCGAATTACGAAGATTCCGACCAAACCTAAGCATACCTAATAGATAGGAGAAACATTTCAATGTGCATGCAAGATTGTTAGTTTCCCAACAGATACTACACTAGAGCTTAGGAAATATACCACAATTCCCAGAATCCCCAATGGCTAAAAAAATACTTTTGCCAAACCCTTCTCTCAACCATCATGTCTGACTACCTTGTGTGTATTTTCTTGTCTCATGATTTCAATCCTGGCTCCTTAGCTATGTCTCCGAAACCTGTCTTTTCCTGTATTTTCTTGGGGGGTTCTGGGATTTATTGACACTGCTTCAGCAGCTTCGTACCCCACTCCTTGTTTTCCATAGTCCTATTTGGAGTATTTTGTGTGTTGTTTCTCTTTTGTGTTGTCTTTCAATGTCCATCTCTCTCTTTCTCTTGCTTCTCTTTCTCCTTCCCTCCCTTTGTTTGTCCTGAATGTCTCTGTTTCTTTGTTTTCAAGCCAACTGACCAATGAGATTCCAGCGTAAGTAGACGTCCTCCCTTTCCACACACCCCACTTGTCAACACCTCTCCCCACTAACCACCCTCTCCTCCATGTCACTGTTCCATTAATTGGAAATAAACACAGAAAGTGGGCTTTCTTTGGGGACAGGACGCGTGGTCCTCAAACAAGCATCCGCACCTTCCCTTAGCAGACTTTGGCCACCCTTTCGATCATATAGTCCAGTGCTTCTCAACCTTCCTAATGTCGCGACCCCTTAATATAGTCCCTCGTGTTGTGACCCCCCAACCATAAAAGTATTTTAGTTGCTACTTCATAAGTGTCATTTTGCTACTGTTATGAATCGTCATGTCAATATCTGATGTGCAGGATAGTACGAGGGTTGAATGAAAAGTAATGCTTCCACCTTCGTAACGCTTCAACAGACTGGCTTGTTCCGTAGACTCTCCTCTACAGTTCCATTTTAGCAGGAAGCCTTAGCGGAAAAAGCAATGCCTCCACCTTCGTAACTCCTCAACAGATGGCCGTACTGGTATGCGGCAGGTACTGGCTTGTTCAGTAGACTCTCCTCTACAGTTCCATTTTGGTGGGAAGCCTTAGCAGAAAATGTAATGCCTCCACCTTCGTAACTCCTCAACAGACTGGCTTGTTCCGTAGACTCTCCTCTACAGTTCCATTTTAGCAGGAAGCCTTAGCAGAAAAAGTAATGCCTCCACCTTCGTAACTCCTTAACAGATGGTATGCGACAGGCACTGGCTTGTTCAGTAGACTCTCCTCTACAGTTCCATTTTGGCAGGAAGCCTTAGCAGAAAAAGTAATGCCTCCACCTTCGTAACTCCTTAACAGATGGTATGCTGAACAAGCCAGTACCTGCCACATACCAGTACTGCCATCTGTTGAGGAGTTACAAAGGTGGAGGCATTACTTTTTCTGCTAAGGCTTCCTGCCAAAATGGAACTGTAGAGGAGAGTCTACTGAACAAGCCAGTACCTGCCGCATACCAGTACTGCCATCTGTTGAGGAGTTACGAAGGTGGAGGCATTACTTTTCATGCAAGCCTCGTAACACTTTATAAAGGAGAGTCTATTGAACAAGCCAGTACCTGCCACATACCAGTAGTGCCATCTGTTGAGGAGTTACGAAGGTGGAGGCATTACTTTTCATTCAACCCTCATATTTTCATTCACTGGAACAAATTTGGCACAAATACCCGATACGGCCAAATTTGAATACTGGTGGGGTGGAGGGGTTTGAATTTGTCATTTGGGAGTTGTAGTTGCTGGGATTTATAGTTCACCTACAATCAAAGAGCATTCTGAACTCCACCAACGATGGAATTGAACCAAACTTGGCACACAGAACTCCCATGACCAACAGAAAATACTGGAAGGGTTTGGTGGGCATTGTCCTTGAGTTTGGGAGTTGTAGTTCAGCTACATCCAGAGAGCACAGTGGACTGCAACTCCAAAACTCAAGGACAATGCCTTACTTGGGATTGAAATGGGAACAATGAAGGGGCTCTGTTCCTTACTTCTGCTATTGAGGGTTGTCAGGAGGTGCCCCGTGATGGTTTTGCGCTTCTAATTGATGAGATCCCAGATCTTTGTTCAGAAAGGATTGCGCACAGTGCACTTTCCCCTGCCAATCAGTTCACTGTTTGCCACATGAATGCTTATTGCATGCCTCCCCTTTCTTCCTGCTTCTAAGTCCTGACGCACTGGATTATCCTCTGGATATCAGGTGAGTCCCAAGAAGGCTTTGCACTTGCGTCTCTTTGGTGTCCAGATGTTGTTGATGCCACCGCCTCCATTGTTGTTGTCGTCTTTCCCGCATTCCGCTTTGTCCTTGTGCATGACGGCTATCTCATTGCAACCTTTTTTTTTAATGACCAACAATCTTGAAAAATGATGTAGAACATGTAATCCAGCCTCTCCTCAGAAACAGGGCTCTACGAGGAGCATTAATTAAAGATTTCCCTGACCCACTTCCAATTATCACAGGACACTCAAACTGCACATGTGTAATGATATAAGTCTCTATATGTTACATGACAATTTACGACTCAGAACTGGTAACAGTCTTGATGTTACAGGTTCTGAGTTGTGACGCAAATTCATGGGAAAGGAACGATTTCATGGGTGTCTACTAAACAACAAGTTGTTTACCTTAAGGTCAGTTCAGGCAACACTGTTAGAGAGAGAAACTAGGCCTGAGTTCTGTTGTTCTTAGTTCAAATCAATAATAATATAATACTAATTTGTACCCCGCTACCATCTCCCCAAGGGACTCGGTGTGGCTTACATGAGGCCGAGCCCAAATACAACAATACAAGCAACAATAACAACAATACAAGCAATTAAAATAAAAACATGGACAATAAAATAATTAAACACTAACAATTTCCCATCTTTTTCCATTTCCGGCATTGAGAGGCTATGCTAAAGCTTAGCTGGGCCTGTTTTGTCAGCGTTACCATAAATAGCCCACAGACCGACTCTAGCCCTTGTAACTCTAAGTGCGATAAAGTAACTCATAAAAGAAAACCACATGAGTCTTCTGCTTTAAGTAGAAAAGAAATATAGTTGTATTCACTGCATACAAAACCAAACCGAAGAATTTCTCTCACCAAAAACATAACATGAAACAATATCTTTGGTGAGTCCTCTTCATTCAACGGCGATATGCAGAGTTGTAACAAAAACAATATACAGTCTGTTCTTGTGGGTTTTTTCGGGCTATATGGCCATGTTCTAGAGGCATTTCTCCTGACGTTTCGCCTGCATCTATGGCAAGCATCCTCAGAGGTGAGGTCACCTCTGAGGATGCTTGCCATAGATGCAGGCGAAACGTCAGGAGAAATGCCTCTAGAACATGGCCATATAGCCCGAAAAAACCCACAAGAACTGAGTGATTCCGGCCATGAAAGCCTTCGACAATACAATATACAGTCTGTCTTACTCAGTTGTCCGTAAAGTGATCTTGACTTGCCGTCAACAAACTTTCTCTTCAGGACGTTTGCAGAACTGCTCCCGTCACCAAACAAAGGCTTTTCAGCTCAGAACGAGCCCTCAAGCAAAGCATAAAACGCAATACTCAAAAGTACAAACACACATTGGCTTACTATATACGGCGGATATTTTTAAAGTAAGGTCCGTTTTGTTGTAGACACTAGTAGTTTGCGCACATACCGCAACGAGCGCGTGCGTCGTGTACCAGCATGCCTCAGGAACAACTGTGCTCAGTTTCCGCTCTGTAGCTCACCTGTACGGTTCTGTTCTGTGCTTTAAAAATGTTTAAGACTCTCAACTGACCCTCCGCATGTGAGGTTCGCTCAGTGAGACGGTTTTTGTCAGCAAGGAACCTGCCTGCTGCAGAAATTCATCGACAGATTTCGAAGTGTACGGTGATACTGTTATGAGTGAAAGCAAAGTGTGTAAGTGGGTACGACAATTCAAAGATGGCCATGACAATGTCCATGATGAGGACCACTCCGGTCGCCCTTCTTTGATTACAGATTATTTGATTTGATCGCACACTCAAATCTTTGGTTTTTGTGGTTCTCTGTTAGGAGTTTCGGGACCCAACGGGAGCACAGTTTCCTAAACTTTAGGTGTTCAGAAACAATGTTGTAAAGCACTGATCTCGACATGTCAGGAAATTCGTTTGAGAGACCTGTTATTGTGAAGCACCTGTTCTCACGAATCCTCGCTTCAACTGACGCCACCAAATCGTCTGTAATCAAAGACGGGCGACTGGAGCGGTCCTCATCATGGACGTTGTCACGGCCATCTTTGAATTGTCGTACCCACTTACGCACTTTGCTTTCACTCATAACAGTCTCACCGTACACTTCACAAATCTGTTGATGGATTCCTTGCTGACAAAAACCGTATCACTGAGCGAACCTCACATGCGGCGGGTGAGTTGATAGTCTTAAACATTTTTAAAGCACAGAACAGAACCGTACAGGTGAGCTACAGAGCGGAAACTGAGCACAGTTGTTCCCGAGGCATGCTGGTACACGACGCATGCGCTCGTTGCGGTATGCGCACAAACTACTAGTGTCTACAACAAAACGGACCTTACTTAAAAAATATCCCTCGTACATGAGATAACAATACACTCAATTGTCCCATCGATTAACTGTGTGAGCTGTTATCGAGAGGCTATGCTCAACAGCCCTGATCCTTTCCAAAACTTAGGAAAAGTACGTTGCAAACCCTTAGTAGCAACATGTTTTCCAATTATTGTGGAATAGAGACTTGCTGTGGATCCCTCTCCATGTGCTTCAAGGGTTCTCCTCACCAGCACAGATTTTCTCAAACCCAGATCTTGCCATAGGATTGCTCAATAAGATGCGCAGCCATCCGCATCTGTAGAAAACCAAAGGCTCAGGCTGACCGCTTGAGCCGTTGTGTGGGCGATCACATGTATTAATTCATTATTGTTGTCCGAACTGGTCAGTTGACATCACGTTGTAATCTTCAAGAGGACAGAAGGGCTCGGTGACATTTGGGAGTTTGATTTCAATTAGATAGATTGCTGTAACGAGCACCAAAAGAAACGTAACAATATTAAAATTAAGCAGTCTAACATACCTTAATGAAGCTGTCAGTTGTCAATGCTCACTCGAATGACAAAATGCAATTAGGGATATTTTTTCGTTCTGTGCGTAGAACAGATAAAACAAGAAGCTATTTTATGTCAGCAATCATCCAGTAAGACCCCGTGGTCTTTAGTAAAGGTTTCTTCTTGGATTCCTGTATAGCGGGAGATGGCTGGGAATATATTCATTGATTCATTCAAATGTCTAGATGTTTATATGTGTTGCACTCCAGGCCTGGAAACATGTATGACCACTAGGGCTGGGCGGTTTCGTTCGTTAATTTCGTAATTCGTTATTGATTCGTATTTAAATTAGCTTACGATCCGATATTGAGCCATGCAGGAGCAACTAAAAATCGAAACGATTTTCAATTTATTTCGTAATTGTTTCGTAATTGGTTCGAAATCGTTTCGAAATCGTTTCGAAATCTTTCGTTATTATTTCCGTATGTCTGGTGCAAGTTTTATAGTTGTTGTTTGTTTTATCAGTGATAAAAAAATAAATTATCACACCAACAGTCAACAACAGAGGGAGAGGGAAGCTTCAGAAGTTCCCCCTGTCCCATTTGGAGGTTTTTTTAGCGTATTGCGCAATCGCGTCCGCCATTAACGAATCAATTCGAAATTTACGAAATTTCGGAAATTTCTAAATTTTTAAAAGGGAAAATTTCGGAATTATTACAAAATACCAAATGCAAGGGCCACCTAAAAACGAAACGAGTTTAGAAACAAATTTTTCCGTTGTTACCCAGCCCTAATGACCACCACACCGTACAAGAATCCAGGAATATAAGCAAACAGTTTACTGTAAAAACAAATAAAAAGAACATAAAAAATCAAGAATAAGAAAGGAAGATAAATACTCCAAAAAGGTTTAGCAATGGGTGATAACAGAACAATAATCCAAATGGCTCGTAAAGTTTCAGAGGTGACAAAGTCCAGAAACAGCCAGAAATCAAAGATACAGAATTTGTCCATAATCAAGAAGATACAACTAAAACTTGAACAGGAATACATGAATAGGGACATAGAAAACTTCCAGATTATACTAAATTATACAAAGCCTGACTTGAACCAGGAACAAGAGAACTCAGGCTTCGCTTCTCACTCTAAAGCAGTGTTGCCTGAGCTGAACTTAAGGTACACAACATGTTGTTTAATAGACACCCATGAAATCATTCCCTTTCCTATGAATTTCCTACACAACTTTTCCACGTAATCTCTCTGAACAATAATCCAAATGACTCATAAAGTTTCAGAGGTGACAAAGTCCAGAAACAGCCAGAAATCACAGATACAGGATCAGTCCACAATCAAGAAGATACAACTAGTAAACCTTGAACAGGAGTACATGAATAGGACATAGGGTGTCTTGTTCAAATCCTCAACCGTTCCATCATCTTAGCCATTCCTAGTTCATTTTTCGATTGGAGTTTATCTGGTCATGTAAATGAAGGCTTTTCTTGATCTCCATAGAACATAGAAAACTTCCAGATTATATTAAATCCAAAATCAAAGCTTGACTTGAACCAGAAACAAGAGAACTCAGGCTTAGATTCACACTCTAAGGCAGTGTTGCCTGAACTGAACTTAAGGTAAACAACTTGTTGTTTAATAGACACCCATGAAATAATTCCCTTTCCTGTGAATTTCCTACACAACTTTCCCACATAATCTCTCTGAACAACACAATCTATTTTCGGCTCTAATTTGTATTTATTATTTTTATTTTATTTAAGTCATTTTTATCCTGCCCATATCAGCCCGAAGGCGACTCAGGGCAGCGTACAAGTCGGCAACAATTAGATGCCGTATATAAAAATACATACATCGGTAAAAAGCAAACAACATCACAAGACATTTAAAAACCACAAAAGCGATATAAACAATCAAAATTATAAAAACTATGTCTTCTTGTTCAAATCCTCAACTGTTCCATCGTCTTAGCCGTTCCTAGTTCGTTTTCCGATTGGAGTTTATCTGGTCATGTAAATGAAGGCTTTTGTTGATCATAGCTTCAGCTGGGTTCCCGTAGGAACCTTCCTTATCACTCAGCTCTTCACTCGATTCCTTCTCTACTGTCGCTACTTCTGACTCGTCTCAATGCCCTTGAGGTCCTGCACTTTCCAAGCTGGTCTTCTCATTGAGAGAACCATAATTTCCCAGACTTGAGAGCCCATCACTTTATGCAAAGAGCTGTTGGATCACTCTGTTGTGTCTGTTGGGGGGGATAATTTTTTCCCTTCAGTTATTGTTATTGTGTATGTGTTGTCATCTTGTGTGGTACATGTACATTTCTGTGGCAGCAAAAAATTGTGAAAACTTTTCCTCGGGGACTACGTCCTTCTATAAACCTGTCCAAACAGCTATCTTCTTCCCTTCTCTGGGAAAACACGATGCCTCGACGTACCGTCTGGGCCAGAAAATGGGACTTTTGGGGGGGATTGATGTGCCTCTTTGAGGGATAATTTTTGCGGCAAACAAAAATAAGACTTCCTTTTTTGTAGCCATTTTCAGAGCTTTATCCTATTTCATGAATATTGAGGAGTGGTTGTATGAAGCGTGTGTGCGAGAGAACCAAGTCTGTTGGAAAGCAGATTTCTTATAACATTTCCTCCTCGTTCTGAGTAGATTTGTGTTGTGAACATTAGAACAATAACAATAATAATAGTAATAATAATATAAATAATTTCCTATCTTGCATTATGGCTCAAGGTGATTAAAACAAACACATTATATCTCAAAATACCCACAAATATTGGAGAGTAGTAATTTATTATTTATTTACAGTATTCTTTTCGCCACGCAGGGGACTCAGGGCGGATCACGATGCACATTTACATTGCAAACATTCAATGCTTTAGATACACACGACACATATAGACAGACACACAGAGGCTATTTAACATTCTAGCTTCATGAGGGTATGCTTTGAATCCCGGCCACCGGGGGAGCTGTTGCTTCACTGTCCACTTGTGACACAGATGGAGTACTTCCTCATTCTTTTGCACGCTGCTGGGGATTTTTGTGGCATCATAAAATTAGTTAAATTAGCCACCTAAATTTCTTACTTGACAGAACTCAAGAGCTTTTGGTCAGTAGTGATTTTAATGCAGTTGACTCCCAACCTGGTCCTAATGGGATTATGTGGCCCTTCATATCTGCCTCCAAAGGGATTATATGGCAGTCACTCAAATGTCAAGGTTGCTCCTCCACCCCCAAAACCACTGCCAATCCAAAAATGGGGTCCCCTCTCCATCCCAAAAGCTAATGCCCCCCATTCTCATCTTGGTGCAGTGAGAAGGCCCTGCAGTCGAACCACTTTGAGCTGAGCATCAAGACGGAAGCCACGCAAGGCCTCATCCTTTGGAGCGGGAAGGCTCTGGACCGATCCGACTACATTGCCCTGGCCATTGTGGACGGCCGCGTACAGATGACCTACGACCTCGGCTCCAAGCCTGTCGTCCTACGCTCCACCGTCCTGGTCAACACAAACCAGTGGGTCCAGATTAAAGCATACAGGTAGGTTGCTGAACATACGTAGAGACAACGGAGATTGGAATGAAGTTGCAACTAACAATAATAATAATAATAATAATAATAATAATAATAATAATACTTTATTTATATTCCGCCCTTCTCCCCGAAGGGACTCAGAGTGGATTACAGTATATATATGAACAGATACAGGCAACATTCAATGCCTTTTTACAGTGACATACAGTGAGAAAAATAGACAAAGGCAAAGGCTTCTCCTTTCATTTCCAGCTTCTGGAGGAGGCGTTCATCTCTGACTTTGGGGGAGGCGCTCTTCTCTGTTTTACAATGACATACAGTGAGAAAAATAGGCAAAGGCTTCTTTCATTTCCGGCTTCTGGAGGTGGTGCTCATCTCTCGCTTTGGGGGAGGTGCTCTTCTCTGTTTTACAATGACATACAGTGAGAAAAAATAGACAAAGGCAAAGGCTTCTCCTTTCATTTCTGGCTTCTGGAGGAGACGCTCATCTTTGACTTTGGGGGAGGCGCTCTTCTCTGTTTTACAATGACATACAGTGAGAAAAATAGACGAAGGCAAAGGCTTCTCCTTTCATTTCCGGCTTCTGGAGGTGGAGCTCATCTCTCGCTTTGGGGGAGGTGCTCTTTTCTGTTTTACAATGACATACAGTGAGAAAAACAGACAAAGGCAAAGGCTTCTCCTTTCATTTCCGGCTTCTGGAGGTGGTGCTCATCTCTCGCTTTGGGGGAGGTGCTCTTTTCTGTTTTACAATGACATACAGTGAGAAAAACAGACAAAGGCAAAGGCTTCTCCTTTCATTTCCGGCTTCTGGAGGTGGTGCTCATCTCTCGCTTTGGGGGAGGTGCTCTTCTCTGTTTTACAATGACATACAGTGAGAAAAATAGACGAAGGCAAAGGCTTCTCCTTTCATTTCTGGCTTCTGGAGGAGACGCTCATCTTTGACTTTGGGGGAGGCGCTCTTCTATGTTTTACAATGACATACAGTGAGAAAAACAGAAGAAGGCAAAGGCTTCTCCTTTCATTTCCGGCTTCTGGAGGTGGTGCTCATCTCTCGCTTTGGGGGAGGTGCTCTTCTCTGTTTTACAATGACATACAGTGAGAAAAACAGACGAAGGCAAAGGCTTCTCCTTTCATTTCTGGCTTCTTGAGGAGACACTCATCTTTGACTTTGGGAGAGGCGCTCTTCTCTGTTTTACAATGACATCCAGTGAGAAAAACAGGCAAAGGCAAAGGCTTCTCCTTTCATTTCCGGCTTCTGGAGGTGGTGCTCATCTCTCGCTTTGGGGGAGGTGCTCTTTTCTGTTTTACAATGACATACAGTGAGAAAAACAGACAAAGGCAAAGGCTTCTCCTTTCATTTCCGGCTTCTGGAGGTGGTGCTCATCTCTCGCTTTGGGGGAGGTGCTCTTTTCTGTTTTACAATGACATACAGTGAGAAAAACAGACAAAGGCAAAGGCTTCTCCTTTCATTTCCGGCTTCTGGAGGTGGTGCTCATCTCTCGCTTTGGGGGAGGTGCTCTTCTCTGTTTTACAATGACATACAGTGAGAAAAACAGACAAAGGCAAAGGCTTCTCCTTTCATTTCTGGCTTGTGGAGGTGGTATTCACGTCTGGCTTTGAGGGAGGTGCTCTTCTCTGTTTTACAATGACATACAGTGAGAAAAACAGACAAAGGCAAAGGCTTCTCCTTTCATTTCTGGCTTGTGGAGGTGGTATTCACGTCTGGCTTTGAGGGAGGTGCTCTTCTCTATTTCCAAGCTGAGGAGCCTGTGTTGTCTGTTGACACCTCCTGATTATGTGGCCAGCATGACTGCATGGAGCACCGTTACCTTCCCACCGGAGCAGTACCTATTGATCTACTCACATTTGCATGTTTTCGAACTGCTAGATTGGCAGAAGCTAGGGCTAACAGCGGGAGCTCACCCCGCTCCCCGGATTGGAACAGCCAGCCTTCTGGTCAGCAAGTTCAGCAGCTCAGCAGTTTAACCCGCGGTGCCATCGGGGGTGCAGTAGGTTCGAAAATACAGTGAGACAATGACATAAAGTGAGACAAACACACAGATAAAGGCATTGGAATGTTTTTGAACCGCTTAGGTTAGCAGAAGGTAGGGCTGACAGCAGGAGCTCACCCCGTCCCGCGATAAGTAAGAAACATTGTATGTAGGATTGGCAAATAATGTATGGTCCTGGTGTCATCTTGAGATCCATCTCTTAACGTTATCTGCTAATGACAAAACTGTGCTCTGATTTGGAATGGCAACTTTCAGGACATGGTGCTCTTGCCCACGGCAGAGAAAGGTCTTGACCTGCCCTCTGTCCACTTCCCAAAGCCTTTCCCTTTTCCTCTGTTGCTCAAGTCGTTCTCCACAAAAGGAATCCAAGGGAGCAAAGGGTCACCTTTCAAGGCCTCCAGACTTGGCGGGCCACCAAAACAAGCCGAGAAGGGGAAACCCTGGGTGACTCACCAGACACGGGCAGCTAGCCGCCCTCAGGTCCCATGCCTGGACTTGTCCGTTTTGGGCCCTGGGAATTGGTCACAGGGGTGAGCAGAGGCGACCGTCCCTCCCTGCTGCTTTGAGGGCCAAAGCTCTCCCTGGGTTTTTATTTATAGCATCCCGGGCCAGCGTTGCAGGGCCAACCCAAGCTCGCTTGCTGCCCGGAGGAGCAGATGGTGCCAGCCACCCACTCACCGCAAGGTGCTGAGACAGCCTCGTTATTTCAGCCCAGGAGGCAGAAAATCTCTGAAGCCATTCCCCTGTGGATATCTATCAAATATGATCACGGGCAGGGGCGGCTCATCCATTACGCGAAGTAAGCGGTCGCAGAACACTTTTTGCCAGGGGCGCAGAGGCGCCTCTGTAAATGCCCCTCGACTGCCACTTGAGGAGCGCCCCCTCAGCTCACAACAGCCCTAGCAGTCCGGGGGGAGCCTCGGCTTTCTTGCCTCGCTGCCGGGCGATCCTCTTCCCAAAGGGGCCGGGCCCTTGAGCCTCGCCTAGCCCCTCTCGTTCCTGCTCCACCCGGCCACCGGGTGCGCGAGCAGAGCCAGCGCTCAATCGTTCTCCGCGTTCGATCCCTTCCCCATGACCGGCTCCCTTTCCCGATCCCCCGGCACCCCACCCGCCTCCTCTCTTCTCCCCAATCCGTGGGTGGGCCAAGGGGCGGAGCCATCACGCCTGTCCCACTTTGGGTCCGGAGGCATGTCTGAAGACCCCAGCGTGTGCACCAAAAGTCGCCTCTTCTCCTGACTTTCTCTTCAGCCATTGGGACCAAGAGAGAGAGAGAGAGAGAGAGACCCCTCCGGCTGGAGGTATCTCCCACCTCCGCTCCCTCCTTTGTTTTTGCGCCTACCTTCAGGAAAGGTGGGCATCTCCACCTCTCTCTCTCTCTCTCTCGGTCCCAATGGCTGAGGAGAAAGTCAGGAGAAGAGGTGACTTTTGGTGCACACGCCGGGGTCTTCAGGCACGCCTCCGGACCCAAAGCGGGCCAGGCAAGGGAGCAAGTGCGGCAAGTGTAGTTACTGGGATGTATAGTTCACCTACAATCAAAGAGCATTCTGAACTCCACCAATGATGGAATTGAACCAAATATGGCACACAGAACTCCCACGACGAACAGAAAATATATATCAATGATTGGTTGGGGGGCGGTGGTGCCAAAATACTGCTTACCATTGAAAATTACCTAGGGCCGCCTCTGATCACGGGGAAAAGTCCAACATGTTGCTACTGTGGGTTAAGCAAAGGATGGCATGCTCACGTAATAACACTAACAACAAGTGCAGCATTTTTCCTAATGAGGCAGAAGGTGTTTGAGGATTGGAGCATCCGTAGGGATACCAAGGTGCTTGTTTATAAAGCTACTAGCTGTACCCGGCCACGCGTTGCTGTGGCATAGTCTGTGGCAACCCCCTTCTACCCTCATGGTGGAAAAGCACAATCAAAGCACTCCTGACAGATGGCCATTCAGCCTCTGCTTGATCACAATAATAGAATGGGAGGGTAGGAAGAGACCTCCAAGGGTCATCCAGTCCAGCCCCTTCTGGCAAATGGGAAAAGCACAATCTAACCACTCCTAAAAGATGGCCAGCCTCAACTTAATGATAATGATGATGATGGAATCCTAGGGTAGGAAGAGACCTCCAAGGGCCATCCAGTCCAGCCCCTTCTGGCAAATGGGAAAAGCACAATCTAACCACTCCTAACAGATGGGCAGCCTCAACATGATGATGATGATGATGATGATGATGATGATGATGATGGAATCCTAGGGTAGGAAGAGACCTCCAAGGGCCATCTAGTCCTGCCCCTTCAGGCAAATGGGAAAAGCACAATCTAACCACTCCTAACAGATGGCCAGCCTCAACTTGATGATGATGATGATGATGATGATGATGATGATGATGATGGAATCCTAGGGTAGGAAGAGACCTCCAAGGGCCATCCAGTCCAGCCCCTTCTGACATAAGGGAAAAGCACAATCTAACCACTCCTAACAGATGGGCAGCCCCAACTTGATGATGATGATGATGATGATGATGATGGAATCCTAGGGTAGGAAAAGACCTCCAAGGGCCATCCAGTCCTGCCCCTTCTGGCAAATGGAAAAAGCACAATCAAACCACTCCTGAGAGATGGCCATTCGGCCTCAGCATCAAATAATAATAATAATAATAATAATAATAATAATAGAAGTCCACTTACATCTGGAGAGCACTGTGAACCAAAACAAAGATGAATCTGGACCAAACTTGGGAAGAAAACTCAATATGCCCAAATTTGAACACAGTGGATTTTGAGGAAGACTGGCGCAGTCGTTCTTCTGCTTTTAAGGTACTCACGACGACAGGAGCATTTTTATATATATAGATTGTCCTCCCAACCCTGCTATATGATGCCATCCTACTTTTCAAACTGCGAAACGTGGACTGTCTATAGACGTCACACTCAACACCTGGAACAATTCCATCAGCGTTGCCTCTGAAAAATCCTGCAAATCTCTTGGGAAGACAGGCGGACAAATGTCAGCATGCTGGAAGAAACAAAGACCACCAGCACTGACACCATCAACTCTGCTGAACTCCGTTGTCCAAATGCCCGATCACCACCTCCCAAAGCAGTTGCTCTATTCCAAACGGAAAATGTAATGTTGGTGGACAGGGAAATAGATTGAAACATGGGCTTAAAGCCAAACTGTAGAATAGAAACCAAGAACCGGGAAGCCCAGGCCCTCGAGTGTTCTAACTAGAGGTCAGCTGTGACCATTAGTGCTGCAGAATTTGAAGAGGCATGAATAGAGGGTGAAAGGGAGAAACGTGCCGAGAGGAAGATGCGTCAACCAACTGTGGCCAGGACCATCTTATAATAATAATAATAATAATAATAATAATAATAATAATAATAATACCTTATTTATATGGAAACCGATGTCCTCACTGTGGTAGGACATGCAGATCGAGAATAGGACCCCACAGCCACCTATTAACCCACTGCCAACTGGTCCCTGGTCAAAGTGGTCCCTGGTCAAAGTGGTCCCTGGTCAAAGTGGTTCCTGGTCAAAGTGGTCCCTGGTCAAAGTGGTCCCTGGTCAAGTGGTCCCTGGTCAAAATGGTCCCTGGTCAAAGTGGTCCCTGGTCAAAGTGGTCCCTGGTCAAAGTGGTCCCTGGTCAAAGTGGTCCCTGGTCAAAGTGGTCCCTGGTCAAGTGGTCCTGGTCAAAGTGGTCCCTGGTCAAAGTGGTCTCTGGTCAAAGTGGTTCCTGGTCAAGTGGTCCCTGGTCAAAGTGGTCCCTGGTCAAAGTGGTCCCTGGTCAAAGTGGTCCCTGGTCAAAATGGTCCCTGGTCAAAGTGGTCCCTGGTCAAAGTGGTCCCTGGTCAAAGTGGTCCCTGGTCAAAGTGGTCCCTGGTCAAAATGGTCCCTGGTCAAAGTGGTCCCTGGTCAAAGTGGTCCCTGGTCAAAGTGGTCCCTGGTCAAAGTGGTCCCTGGTCAAAATGGTCCCTGGTCAAAGTGGTCCCTGGTCAAAGTGGTCCCTGGTCAAAATGGTCCCTGGTCAAAGTGGTCCCTGGTCAAAATGGTCCCTGGTCAAAGTGGTCCCTGGTCAAAGTGGTCCCTGGTCAAAGTGGTCCCTGGTCAAAGTGGTCCCTGGTCAAAGTGGTCCCTGGTCAAAGTGGTCTCTGGTCAAAGTGGTCCCTGGTCAAAGTGGTCCCTGGTCAAAGTGGTCCCTGGTCAAAGTGGTCCCTGGTCAAAGTGGTCCCTGGTCAAAGTGGTCCCTGGTCAAAAGTGGTCCCTGGTCAAAGTGGTCCCTGGTCAAAGTGGTCCCTTGGTCAAGTGGTCCTGGTCAAAGTGGTCCCTGGTCAAAGTGGTTCCTGGTCAAAGTGGTCCTGGTCAAAGTGGTCCCTGGTCAAAGTGGTCCCTGGTCAAAAGTGGTCCCTGGTCAAAGTGGTCCCTGGTCAAAGTGGTTCCTGATCAAGTGGTCTCTGGTAACTACACTTAGAGGACCATTGTCCTCAGGTTACGAGGGATCGCCTAAGTAAGTTACTTTTTCCTCCCAGAAGCTATTTAAAATTACACACAGAACAAAAATGCCATCCTACTTTTCAAACGGCCAGGATTGTTACGGATATAAAAGCATGAGAAGAGACGTCTTATCAGCCAACGCGGATCTGAAGGTTCCCAAGAGCAAGGCAGCGGCGCTTGAAACGCAGGCTAAAAAGAGCAGATTTCAAAAGCTTGTGACAATCGAGAAGCGTTTGCTTGTCACCCAGAGGTGCCGAGGAGACAAAGACGGTGTTCGGAAGCGAAGTGACCACTGCTGAGAAGGCCCTTTCTCTTGCTTCAAGAGGAACGCTTTCAGCAGAAGATGGAAGGCAAATGCTCCGGGTTTGAAGTTCGTCTCTCTCTAAAGTTTCAGCTCCTAAAAGCACGAGCTATTTATAATAATCAATGAAATGTGTTCATGCAGGGTCAGATTGATGAGATGGCTTCTCCTGATGCACTGGAACTGGTGCATTGTCTCGTAGAAGGTGAACATCTTTGGTGAGAACTCCAAACCTTTTCATGACTGCTTGCCCTTTTCCCCTCCTGCAGGGTGCATCGAGAGGGGTCCCTCCAAGTTGGCAACGAGGCCCCCATCACAGGCTCGTCCCCTCTGGGGGCAACACAGCTGGACACAGACGGAGCCCTTTGGCTAGGTGAGTTGCATCCTCCCTATACCAATGGCCACCAAATAGGCAGCCATAGAACTGCCACCCCAATGTAGTAATGTTGGAGAGTGGTCGCTAGTCAAAGTGGACTCTCATCAAGTGGTCCCTGGTCAAGTGGTCCCTTGTCAAAGTGGTTCCTGATGAAGTGGTCCCTGGTCAAAGTGGTTCCTCATCAAGTGGTCCCTGGTCAAGTTGTCCCTGGTCAAGTGGTCCCTGGTCAAAATGGTCCCTTGTCAAAATGGTTCCTGATCAAGTGGTCCCTGGTCAAGTTGTCCCTGGTCAGAACGGTCCCTGGTTAAAGTGGTCCCTGGTCAAAGTGGCCCCTAGTCAATTGGCCTTGTTTAAGTGGTCCCTGGTCAAAATGTCCCTGGACAAAGTTGTCCTTGGTCAAAGTTGTTCCTGGACAAAAGTGGTCCATGGCCAAAGTGGTCCCTGGTCAAAGTGGTCCCTGTTCAAGTGGTCCTTGGTCAAGTGGTCCCTGGTCAAAGTAGTCGATGGTCAAATGGTCCCTGGTCAACTGGTCCCTGGTCAAAGTAGTCCCTGCTTAAGTGGTCCATGGCCAAAATGGTCCCTAGACAAAATGGTCCCTCTTCAAGTGGTCCCTGGTCAAATTGGTTCGTCTTCAAGTGGTCCCTGGTCAAGTGGTCCCTGGTCGAAGTGGTTGATGGTCAAATGGTCACTGGCTCCTGGTTAAAGTGGTCCCTGGTCAAGCAGTCCCTGTTCAAGTGGTCCCTGGACAAAGTGGTCCCTGGTCAAAGTTGTCCCTGGTTTAAGTGGTCCCTGGTCAAGGTGGTCGCTGGTTGAAGTGGTCCCTGGTTGAAGTGGTCCCTGGTCAAGGTGGTCCCTGGTCAAAGTTGTCCCTGGTTTAAGTATTCCCTGGTCAAGGTGGTCCCTGGTTGAAGTGGTCCCTGGTCAAGGTGGTCCCTGGTCAGAGTGGTCCCTAGTCAAAATGGTCCCTAGTCCAGAAAACTTACAGCAACCCAAAGACTTTAATGTTCGCCCTTCCCCATGAGTGACCTTACCCTGCTTCCTGCCTGACTCGGTTTCCCCTTCTGTCGTTCCAGGCGGGCTGGAGAAGCTCAGCGTGGCTCACAAGCTGCCCAAGGCCTACAGCACCGGCTTCATCGGCTGCATCCGAGACGTCGTCGTGGACCGCCAAGAACTGCATTTGGTGGAGGACGCTCTAAACAACCCCACCATCTTACAGTGTTCGGCCAAATAAAGACTCCCCGCAGCCCTTCCTCCTCTCCTTCCTTCCTCTTCCTCCCCGTTCCCTTCTCTCTTCCTTCCTCCTCCTCCTCCTCCCGGCTATTGCTGTAATTATTTTCTATTTTTGTAAACTTATTGCTTTTTATATTTTTGTGGGGGGAAGGGAGGGGGGGAGAGCAGGGAGACCAAGAGGAGGACGACGGAGAGAGAGAGAGAGGACCTCGGGGCGGGGGGGGAGGAGGAGCGGGTTGTTTATTTTCGGTTGCGACGGCGTTGCGGCGTCATCTCACCCAAGCCAGTTGGACTCTTTTTGAGCCTCCGTTCCACTCCCAAGACGTGACCAAGGAACAAAACCAACGTGCTTCTTCCTACCCGGCTGCCCATTTTGTTTTCGGACGTCGTCATATTTTTTTTTGTTTTTGTTTCCTGCTGTTAAGCATCATTCATACTTGAAACGTTTTCTAATGGCCACAAAGAAGAATCAGATCGATGCCGACGAGGAGAAGATCGGAAAGTTTGCCAGAGGAAAATAGGCTTGTTTGCCGCATCCTTGAACCTTTTCTATGGGATTGGGTTGTGGGGAGAAGGCTGAATCCACGAGAGGGACCTCCGGAGGACGCCCAAAGGCCTTGGACCAAAACCTACCAGCCTTGGACTCACCCTTTAGTCTTCTTTCCTAGGTTTGCTATTATCTTCTTGTACTCACCGTTAGGATGAAAAACACTGAATGCTGTATGTACTCTTCTCTCCCTCTTTTGACATGATTCCAAAACAAACTAGGAGATTCCTCCTGAACATGAGGAAGAACTTCCTGGCTGTGAGAACTGTCAGGGGTGCTTTGAATACAATTTTCCTGCTTCTTGGCAGAATGGGGTTGGACTGGATGGCCCACGAGGTCCCTTCCAACCCTAACTCTAGCCTTACCTGGCTAATGTCGGGTCCCCATTCCCGCACACCGAACACACACAGACGTTTCATGGACATGAGGAAGAACTTTCTGACTGTCAGAGCTGTCTGGGGTGCTTTGAAAAAAAAAAAAAAAAAAACAAATGGACTTTAAACAGATGGCCATCTGTCAGGGGTGCTTTGAATACAATTTTCCTGCTTCTTGGCAGAATGGGGTTGGACTGGATGGCCCACGAGGTCTCTTCCAACCCTAACCCTAACCCTAGCCTTACCTGGCTAATGTCGGGTCCCCATTCCCGCACACCGAACACATACAGACATTTCATGGACATGAGGAAGAACTTCCTGACTGTAAGGAGAGCTCTTCAGCAGTGGAACTCTCTGCCCCGGAGCGTGGTGGAGGCTCCTTCTTTGGAGGCTTTTAAACAGAGGCTGGATGGCCATCTGTCGGGGGTGCTTTGAATGCAATTTTCCTGCTTCTTGGCAGAATGGGGTTGGACTGGATGGCCCATGAGGACTCTTCCAACTCAAGGATTCTGTGATTCCTAACCCCATGAGACTTGAGGTGGGCTTCCATAGACTCCTAGAGTAGCAGAACTTCATTGGGAAGCTACAGGGTGCGAAGATGTGTGATTAGGTTGGCGTCGCAGCAGGGAAAAGGAAGGTTTGAGGGATCCTTAGCATTATAGTCCAACGTCGTAACTTGCCCACATTCTGGAGCTCCTAGATAGGATTGGACAGTTGGAAGATCATGTTGAAAGATCCCCATGCTCGTCTTTGTCACTCAATGAGATGAGTGACGACACTTGGGTTTGTTTGACTCTAAGATCAGTTCTGTTTATTGGATTGCTGAGAGTTTTCCAGACTGTCTGGCCACGTTCCAGAAGCATTCTCTCCTGATGTTTCATCCACATCTGTGGCAGGCTTCCTCAGATGTTGTGAGGTCTGTTGGAAACTAGGTAAGTGGGGGTTATGCATCTGTGGAATCATAACAGTAAATAAAGAACAATAATAAAAAAACAAGGGAATTCCAGACAAGAAACCATCAGGTTCAGCTAACCGCCTCCCAACAAAGGATTCCCATGGCAGGGGCGGCTCAACCCATTACGCAAAGTAAGCATTCGCAGTAGGGTTGATTTTGCCCAAGGGCGCTCTTGAGGCGCTCTTGGGGGGAAATAGACCTTGACATATGTAAGTTGTAGTTACTGGGATGTATAGTTCACCTACAATCAAAGAGCATTCTGAACTCCACCAATGATGGAATTGAACCAAATATGGCACACAGAACTCCCATGACGAACAGAAAATATATATCAGTGATTGGTTGGGGGGGGGGGGGGGGGGGGGGGTGCGCCAAAATACTGTTTGCTTACTGTTGAAAATTACCTAGGGCTGCCTCTGTCCCCTGGGCAGTATGAAGCCAGACCTTGAAACTGCTAGGCCATTAAATGCTAATCAAGGTGGCCAATTGCAGCGTTCACACTTGCCTCAAACAGACAAGAGTTCTTTCTCCCACCCTGGACTTTGCACAGATATATAAACCCCATTTTCCTAGTTTCCAACAGCCCTCACAACCTCTGAGGATGCCTGCCATAGATGTGGGAGAAATGTCAGGAGAGAATGCTTCTGAAAGATGGCCAGACAGCTCAGAAAACTCACAACAACCCAGTGAAAGCCTTCAACAACACTGTTCTGTTTAGATTGGTTCTATTTGAGAGCTGTGGTTCTCAACCTATGGATCCCTAGATGTTTTGGCCTTCAACTCCCAGAAATCCTAACAGCTGGTAAACTTGCTGGGATTTCAGGGAGTTGTGGACTCACAGGTTGAGAACCACTGCCTTAGAGGAAGAAACCTTGGCATTACTCTGTGAACAGAGTGCTGTCACTGTATTCAGAGGACCTTGGTTGCAAATACCAAGAAAGATGGGCCATGCCTTTCACCACTGTAGATACCTGGAGACCTCTCCAGGAAAGGTAGCAAAATGGGGTACAGCACCTTGCCTTCTTCAGCTTCCAAAAGCAGATTGTCATATCAACTCTCTTAGAACCTGAGGGTGGCTTCTTTGACTTATCGGCCTCTCTCGTATCTCTCTGGTGCTCTGCCTTGCCTGGCTAAAGTCGGGTATCCCATTCCCGCATACTGAACATGCTTGGACACTTCATGGATGCCAGCCCATTGATCTCTGATGGACCATTTGGGGAGGTGAAGACATTATGTTTATGGTATTTGTGTCAGAGGCAGAAGGAGAAGGTCCTGTGTTGAACTTTCCAGAAGTTTGCAGAAAGTGGCATCAGGGACATTTTGGGGACCTATGGAGGGGGGACATGGCACTCTCCCTACTTGTTGGTAAACAATGTAATAAAAAACTAAACTGACATTTTGCTGGCTTTTCGTGTTACCCCCAAATCCTTCCTTTGCCCTATCACAGTGTTTCTCAACCTTCCTAATTCTGCGACCTCTTAATACAGCTCCTCATGTTGTGGTGACGCCCAACCAGAACATTATTTTCGTTGCTACTACTGCTCAAAACAAATTTAGTATGATGCCAAGCTTCTAACTTTGTTTTGTTTTTGTTTCTGCTGTTGTTGTATAGATTGTGACTGTTGCACTCCAGGACAGGAAAAGCCCTCTGACTGTAAACACCAAAACAAGCCTTTTATTGAAGATAATTAAAAAGCAGCAAGTAAAAAGCACTTTAAAGAAATAGGTAAATCCAATTAGGTAAGAAGATAAGCAGGAGCAAAAATAGTCCAGGGTAAAGTTCAGCAAAGTCCATAAACACAAAGTAAACACAAAGTCTAATATAATTCAGGAAAACGGGAAACGTTAATCCAAGGCATGAGTAGGCATTCATACAATCCAAAAATCCAAACTATGAAACAGGAAATGCTTAGACATGAATCTTCCAAGCAAGGCTTCCACGATACAAGGACGAGAATATCATTTGATTCCAAACGATGCTTCATCTGACTATATTTCCCATACTTGGAACTTTTATCCCTTCGTTAAGCTATTCCACACACTCAGAAATTTGTTTTGCTTTACTTGAGATCCCTTATCTTTTTCTCTCAGAGCCTGGCAGAACGCCGAAGGCACTGCTCGGCCTGTCTGTTTTGAATCATTTCCTCTAGTCTATTTGCTCATAAAGTTTTGCAGCTGGGCCAGGTGCCCAGTTGTTTTCAAGCCCCAAATCCTGGGAACTCTTGGGTAGCAATTCGGGAAGTACTTACTTACTTAGGCGATCCCTCATAGTCCGAGGATGATGGTCCTCCAAGTTTGGTGTCCTGGCAGTGGGTTCGTAGGTGACTGTGGAGCCCTATTCTTGATCTGCATCTTCTCCCACAGTGAGGGCATTGGTTTCCAGGTGGAAGGCGGTCTCGGTCGGGGTTGGCTTGACGCACCTTCCTCTTGGCACGTTTCTCTCTTTCACCCTCCATTCATGCCTCTTCAAATTCTGCAGCACTGCTGGTCACAGCTGATCTCCAGCTGGAGCGCTCAAGGGCCAGGGCTTCCCAGTTCTCAGTGTCTATGCCAGAGTTTTTAAGGTTGGCTTTGAGCCCATCTTTAAATCTCTTTTCCTGCCCTCCAACATTCCGTTTTCCGTTCTTGAGTTTGTAGAGTAATTGCTTTGGGAGACGGTGATCGGGCAATCGGACAACATGGCCGGTCGAGCGGAGTTGATGTCAGAGGAGCATTGCTTCAGCACTGGTGGTCTTTGCTTCTTCCAGCACACTGACATTTGTCTGCCTGCCATCCCAAGAGATTTGCAGGATTTTCCGGAGGCAGCGCTGATGGAATCGTTCCAGAGGTTGCATGTGACGTCTGTAGACAGTCCACGTCTCACAGGCATATAGCAGGGTTGGGAGGACAATAGCTTTATAGACAAGCAGCTTGGTCTCCCTACGGATGTCCCGGTCCTCAAACACTGCTTCATTCGGAAGAATGCTGCACTTGCAGAGTTCAGGCGATGTTGTATTTCAGTCTCAATGTTGATGTCTGTAGACAGTCCACATCTCGCAGGCATATAGCAGCGTTGGGAGGACAATAGCTTTATAGACAAGCAGCTTGGTCTCCCTACGGATGTCCCGGTACTCAAACACTCTCTGATTCATTCGGAAGAATGCTGCACTTGCAGAGCTCAGGCGGTGTTGTATTTTGGTGTCTATGGTGGAAAGTACACCATCATCCCCACACCCTCCAGGGACATTTTCACGGGAAACTACACTTTGCACAGGGGTCTCCTGGTCCTTCTCTGCATCAGTATCATTGACCAAACCACAACTCATTGAGCAAGGAAGTGATCCAAAATGTCCTGTATAAGGGGGATCGGTCATTGCTTTGAAGGCTCCTGGGAACCACAACACACACACACACCATCTCCAAGGATCGCTTTCCTGTGATGCGTCTCAGGTCACAGCCCTACTTCTGTTGACAGGCTGTTGCAGACAACAAAGAGAGGCAAGGCCGGGCAGAGACGAGACATGTCTGGATAAAAATAACGTGTGGAAATCGGTCCCGCAGCTGCCCTCGTGCACGGTCGGAGGAGATATGTTTAAGTCGGGCAAATGAGGTTGCCAGCTCTTTCATTGCTCTCTGGCACTGCCCTGACTCAAATTTGAATACTGGTGAGGTTGGGGAGGGATTGATTTGTCATTTGGGAGTTTAGTTGCTGGGATTTATAGTTCACCTACAATCAAAGAGCATTCTGAACTCCACCAACGATGAATTTGAACCAAACTTGGCACACAGTTCTCCCAAGACCAACAGAACACAGATGGAGTTTGTAGGAAATAGACCTTGAGTTTGGGAGTTGTAGTTCACCTGCATCCAGG